TCTTTCTTTCTTTCTTTCTTTCTTTCTTTCTTTCTTTCTTTCTTTCTGTCTTTCTTTCTTTCTTTCTTTCTTTCTTTCTTTCTTTCTTTCTTTCTGCACCCGTCTGACTCTCTCCCAAACTGAGAGAGATGGGACGAGCAGGGTTGCTCTACAGCAGGGGGTCTCCAACCTTGTCAACTCTAAGGAATTCTAGGAGTTGAAGTCCTCCAGGCTTAAAGTCGCCAAGGTTGGAGAGCCCTGCTCTACACGGGGACTCATAGCTCAGCAGTGGGTTTGCCCAAACTTCTGGAGATCTCAAGTCCTGGGTTGAACTCCCGAGGCAATCTCATGTGGGGCTGGAAAGGAAAAAAAAATAAAGTTTTGCTTGAAACTTTGGAAAGTTATTTCACAGGGACGATAGGCTTGGAGGATGAGGAGCAGTCCGACAGACAAAAGGTTCCCGTGTTGGGGAACGGTGGGATGGATAATACTGAAAGAGAAGATCCTTGTCTGGTTTAATTTCAAGTGGTTTGCGAGGTTCTTGGTCACTTGGAAGTCTTCTAGGATTTAGACGAAGGAGGTTAGAAAGGATCATCTTTGATCTTCCCTTCTCCTTCTCACTTCCATCATTAATCCGTGTTCAGCTGTGAATCAACAGCCCTTCTGAATTTAACTAACTACTTTAAAATTTCCCGGAGTCATCATGTATTGTTCCATGTGCATCAATATATTTCGGAGGTTTTGGAAGAGGTGGAGAAACTTATCCTTCCTTAAGAGCCATTAAATAATCTGTCCAATTTAATAGTACAGCTCCAGGAATAGATAGGTGTGGGATTTAAAGAAAGATAACACCACAATTCCATATATGCTTATGCTGGACCATTCTGATGGTGGAGTATTCCTAATTCTTGGACAAGATTAAATAAAATTAGATGGTAGGCTAGATGAAGTACTACTTTGGGGCACATGAGATTTATTTTCAATACCTAGCATATGATAACATTCTTTTATTTTCACCTTAACATACCTTCCAAGGTAGTTGTGATACTACAGGAAAATCTCTGTCTGTCTGTCTGTCTGTCCGTCCATCCATCCATCTATCCATCCATCTATCTATTGGATTTTTTTTGAGGGTAAATGAAATATTAATGGGAAAAACAAATGTAATTCCATGGCCATAAGAAAAATGAAAAAAACAGGCAATATATTAATTTATCAAAGGGCCTGGGGCTAAAAGATTTGGGGTAAGGATGAAATGAAGAGCAATGGAACAGCTTATCTCCTGGTGTTGTGGAGGCTCCGTTATTGGAGGTTTTCAATAAAAGATTGGACAACCATTTGCCCTGGATGGTATAAGGTTCCTGATGAGGGCAGGGGGTTGGACTAGAAGACCTCCAAGGTCCTTTTCAGCCCTATGATTCTATGAGCCCAATCTGTGTTTGCTACCAAAAAAAAGGGGGGGGTCAGTATATTGTGTGCATTGAGAGGGAAGGAAACAGCTGCTCTTGCAGACAATTTGAGGCAGGATATAGTTGGCATCCGTCTCCCTTACCATCAGCTTCAATTCTGAAAGCCAAACTTCAGAATCTGTCTGGCACACTGGAGCCCAGATGTTCCAATCCACATTGCGGTAATGCTGTAATATTAGGTGCCATGTAATCGTTGCTTTGATCCTTGACATCAAACAACAGTAGCGCTACAGCAATGATCTATCTTGCAAGGTTCTAAGATCTAACGGAGAAAAGGCGTTTGGCAGGATTTAAATGCTAACTGTTTTAGCTGAAATCTTAGTTACATTTACCCAGGATTTAGTAACCCTCGATGAACTAGCTAAATAGACATGCATAAAAATTGCTTGGAATGGAGGAAACTCAATCTGTTGAATTTGTACAAAATTAGCCTAAAACCAGGATAGGTAGTTTGTGGTTTTGTGTATTGTGAGAGTCACAGGACATTGCATGAAGCAATATGATTTATAGTATGTTGCGTGAATTCTGGAGTTCTGCTTATTAAACGGGAGTTACGCTTGGTTTAGTTGTGAGAAGCTAGCCGCCGTTTGGGGAGGCTTAGGGCTATTATTATTTTTTTGTCTGAAATTTTGCTATCCACGTTCCCAGATGGTGAACACGGGTTTTCAGTGAACTGCAATTTAGAAATATATATATATATATATATATATATATAATGGAATGGACTAAGAACTTGATTTAAAATAAAAAGGATCAGCCGAGTATCTTCTTTTAATGATTTATTTGGGGAATGGCACTCTGGTGGAGAATGTATAGCGTCTTGGTGATTTCTGAGCTTTGCTATTCCATTTGCAGGCAGCTCATTGCCAGGTTAGGTAACCTAATTGGTTCAATTCCCCCATACAGTTGCCAGAGCAATAATATCTGCAAAACCGCTAACTTAACGATGAGTAAAAGGCAGCCGCTGTGCAACCTCTCACTGTAATTATAAGTAGTCCTCAATTTACTACTATTCCGTAACTGAAGTGCAACACCCCCCATTCCAAAAAATAGTGACTTGGGACTACTCCTTGCATTACAGCTGTTACAGCATCCTTGTGGTCACATGGTTGCAATTTGGGCGCTTGGCATATATGTAGGACGGGTTGCAGCACCTCCGGGTCACGGAATTTCCACCTGCAACTTTCCCAGCTGGTTTCCAACAAGCAAAATTGATGGGGGGGGGGAAATGGGTTTGCTTAGCGGCTATGTGATCTGCTTAACAACCACCGCGGGCAAAGGTTGTGAAATTGGGCATGCCTCAACAACTGCATTGCTTGGCAATGGAAGTTCCATCCCAATTGTGGTCATAAGTCAAGAGCTACCTATATATTGGAGCAGGCTGAGGTTGGAAATAGTAAATTAGGTTAACAGAGTTGGAAGGAACCTTGTAGGTCATTAAATCCAACCCTCTTGCACAAGCAGGAGACCCTATACCATTTCTGACAGATGGCAGTCCAGTCTCTTTTAGAAAGCTTCCATTGATGAAGATCCTACAACATCTGAAGGCAACTTCTGTTCCACTGGTTGATTGCTCTTAGTGTCAAAAAAGTAGATTTTACTGAAAGAGAGGAGGAACTTGGCACCTGTCAGTTTGATTGCTGGTTGGCTGGAATTCTGAGAGGTCGCCAAACCCTGCAAGATGCTAGTTTTCCATTCTGCCTTGAAATCTTGCAAGAATCCCAACAACTAACAAAATGAAGGAGAAGGAAACATCTTGTGGACATTTGCAATCTACAGTGTGACACTTTAACACATGCACTACTGTATTGGAATGGGAAAATGACATTGGGAGACAGGAAGGGGAGCTGTAGACTGAACAACTTAGAAGGAGGCAAGTTATGGAAAGCACTTCAGAAGGAATTCTCCTTAGTTTTTCACAGAGTAAGAGAAGAGGATATACTTTCCATCTTGCAAGTTGCAGTTGATATAACCTTTAAATAAAGTGAGAGCTAGGTTGTGCTTCTTATCTGGACTACTTTACAGAACCAACCTAGAACTAAGGCAAAATTTACTGACAGTGAGAACAATTAATCAGTGGAACAAACGGCTTGTCTCTGGAGGTTGTGGGTACTGCAACACTGGAGGGTTCCAAGAAGAGACTGACAAGCATTTGTCTGAAATGATATAGGGTTTCTTCTTTGAGCAGGGGGTTGGACTGGAAGACCTCCAAGATCCCTTCCAATCCTGTTATTCTACCTTATTCTAGTGCTTTCAACACACTAGATACTCAATATGCTCAGCCAGGAGGGCTCAGTAACCTGAATGGCACTAAAAGTTGGGCTTATTGTTGGATCCAGGGCCTTTCCTGTCATTCTGTAAACTGGTGGCTCCATTTTTTTGCAATTAAAACCATGGTCTCCTTCAAATCGAGCCTTACCCTTGGCCAATTTCATGAACACGTCCATTGTTAGCCATTGATTTCTTTCTGACATTTTCTTTTCCCAGCATTGAGGATCTCCCATCTATTCTCCTTTATTGGTAAGCATTTACCACTTTGATCCTGGTTACTTTTCTAAATCATTCAAGATTGCCCACAAGCTGCTATAGAAGCTAGCTATAGGATGATAATCAGCCATGCCATCCAGAGAAGAGACTTCACTCAACTGAAGAAACAGTCGAAGTTCTCGGCAGAGCTAGGCTAACTTAGCACTATTTGATGTAAGGGAAATAATACACATTAGCATCTAAAATGTTTTGGCATCTAAAAGATTGTTGTCTTCACTAGATTCCAAGAATAATCACTCTTCCCTGTAGGTATGTCAGACAGCTAACCATTTGTTGAGTTGGACTCCAAGACATCTCCAAGAATAGCTTAGATTCCATTCCATCCCAACATATGCCAACAAACCAAGCCAAATGGTTTAAACTTCCTCTCCTGCTGTATATCATAAGGTAACAATAGTAACCAAAATGTCCATCCTAAGCTAAATAGAGCTCTCCCTCAAATTCCATATGGGTTTTCCATATGGCAGCTGTAAGAAGGATGTTCAAATAATTCCTTGCAAGCAGACGGGGGAGTCACATCCAGTGGCTAGAAATAACCACCTTGGTCCTTACTCTTTACTAGGCAATTTTCCCACCACGGGGAAGAGGTCACCTTCGCTTTTCC